GGCGCCTGATCCTGCTGCTCGATGACAAAGGACGCGGGCTGCTGCGCCCACTTCATCTCATTGCTGCGCTGCTCTGGCTCCTGGTGCGGTATGGCGGCGCCCGCCCCGTCCCGAACGCCGCCTGGCAACACCCTCCCCCATCCACAGATCATCCTCGTCGCCGGGTTCCCCCATATCCCCCTCGTGCGTCACCTCCTCCTCCTCCTCCTCCTCCTCCTCCTCCTCCTCCTCCTCCTCCTCCACAGCAGCAGCAAAAGCAGCAGCATCATCACTACCGTCACCATCGTCACCATCGGCATCCTCATCGACATCATCACCACTACCACCACCCTCTCTACCAAGTTGTGCATCTTAGCAGAAAAGAGGTGTGAATGCATGCTGTATGAGCTGTCGCTGCCAGTGACGCTGAGACTGAGACGCTGAGACTGGCAGAGGCATGTGGGCGACGGACCGCCTCGCAGTCGTCATTACCATCACCATCATCAGCATCAGCATCATCATCAGCATTATCATCAGCAGCAGCAGCATCATAATCAGCATCAGCATCAGAATCAGCATCAGCATCAGCATCATCATCAGCATCATCATCGTCATCATCACCATCATCAGCAGCATCATCCGTATCATCAGCATCGTCATCATTAGCAGCATCATCAGCATCATCAGCATCATCATATTCAGCATCAGAATCAGCAGCTTCTTCATTATGATCATCATCATCATCATCATCATCATCATCATCATCATCATCATCATCAGAATCAGCATCATCATCATCATCATCATCATCATCATCATCATCATCATCAGCATCATCATCATCATCATCATCGTTATTACCATTATGAGCAGCATCAACATCATCATCATCATCATCATCATCATCAGCATCAGAATCACAAGTAGCGTCATCACCATCATCATCAACCTAAGCATTATCAGCATCATCACCATCATCATCAGCATCATCATGATCATCATCGTCATCATCATCACCATCATCATCAGCGTCATCGTCATCGTCATCGTCATCAGAAGCAGCATCATCATGATCGCCACTATCAGCATCATAGTCCTCACCATCCTCGTCATCATCATCATCAGCAGCATCAGCATCACCACCATCGTCATCATCCTCGGCATCATCAGCATCATCATCATCAGCATCATCATCAGCATCAGTGTCGTCATCACACCACCATCACCATCATGACCGCCATATTCACTGCCATCAACATCGCAAGCGGAGTCGTGATCAGTATAACACCTATCAAGCACCAGTAGCAGCATCATCATCATCAGCATCAGCATCATCATCAGCCGCAGCATCAGCAGCAGCACCACCATTGCCAGTATCATCACTGTCATCCGCCTCATCAGCATCATCATAATTACAACCACCGTCATCAGCCTCGTCATAATAATCAGCATCGCCATCAGCATTAACAGTATCATCACCAGCGCAATCATCGTATTTCTAAGCAGCATCCTCATCGTCGTCGTCATAGGCGTCACCCTCGGCATCAGCATCAGCATCATCGTCCCGATATTCGACATCAGCGTCACCAGTATTGTCATCATCATCGCCAGCATCGCGTGCATCGTCATCATCGCCATAATCGGCATGACCAGCCTAAGCATCATCAGCAGCAGCATCATCCTTATCATCATCATCATCATCATCATCATCATCATCATCATCATCATCACCATCATCATCATCAGCATCAGCAGCATCATCATCAGCATCAGCATCATCATGATCATCATCCTCATCATCATCATCCTCATCATCATCATCATCATCATCATCATCATCATCATCATCATCATCATCATCATCATCATCATCATCCGCATGATCATCATCGTCCGCATCACCACCACCATCATCCTCATCAGCATCAGCATCAGCATCGGCATCAGCATTACCACCATCATCAGCAGCATCGGCATCGTCATAATATTCAATCGCATCAACAACAATCCCAGCACCATCAAAATCCTCAGCATTAACATTCACCGAAGCGTCAGCACCCCCATCCTCGCCAGCAGCAGCATCGGCATCATCACTGTCAGTATGACCATCCTCGTCGCGGTGAACAGCGACAGCAGCGGCATCATCGTCGCAATCATCGACATCAGCAGTATCATCATCACCATCATCATCATCATCATCATCATCATCAGCTGCATCATCATCATCATCATCATCATCATCATCATCATCATCATCATCGTCATCGTCATCGTCATCATCATCATCATCGTCATCATCATCATCATCATCGTCATCATCTGCTTCATCACCACCAGAACCACCATCATCAGAATCATCATCAGCATCAGCAGCAGCAGCAACAGAAGCATCAGCACCACCACCACCACCACCACCATCGCCATCGCCATCGCCATCGTCATCGTTGGCATTATCTGCAGCCACAGCCGTGGCCAGTTTTGCGCAAGACCGCTCCTGTGCAGCAAACGTGGCGTGAGGGCGGGCTGGAGGTTTCGCTTGAGGCTTCCTAACAGTGCATGGCAGCGGAGCTCGAAATCTTCAACACATGCACGGATGGAGCACAAGCCGTTTCCAAGGTAGGACTCCCACTGCCGTGCCTCACAGATCTCGCAAAAACACGGCCGCCAAGACGGCCAACAATGCCTCCGAAACGATGACCCAACAAGCCCCCTGGCCCCAGCACGGCTGGAGGAGATCCCAAGACGGCAGAAACCCCGAAAGACGACACGTCAGGCCCCCGAAGCCGACAGACTGGCCAACCTCGCCCCGGGACGGCCCAAGGAGCACCCAAGAGGCCCCTAGAGGCCCCCAAGACGCCCGCCGGACGCCCCCAAGAGGCGGCAAGAGAGGAGGAGGGAAGAGAACGAAAGGAAGACGACGACGACGACGACGACGACGACGACGACGACGACGACGACGACGACGACGACGACGACCACGAAGAGAGACGTCCCGACACGACGCGGAAGAGCGTGTCACCACCATTTTGAAGGGGCCCACAAACACACAAATAAATACACAAAAATAAAATGATTCCGCATATTTTCCTATATTTTCTGGGTTTTTGTCTTCCCCCCCACTTCCCATATTCTCCCATATTTTCTGGGGAATCGACGATTAATTGTGTCTGTGTGTTTTTTCCCCTCCTCACATTTGCGGCGATTTGAAGCCTCGGGACGCGAGGTGCCATACCGTGCGGCTAACCCGTGCGCTCTCCTCGAGCAGCCGCCGCCCCCGGAGTGCGGGGCCGGGCACGGCGGTGGAGCTTGCCGCAGGCAGCCGGATGCTCCGGAGTTCGCAAGAAAGGGCGGGGGGTCTCATTTCGGGGGGGGTCCCTTCCAGGCCATCCTGGAGGGCCTGGGGGGGTCTGGGGACGATGTTTTGGAGGGTTCTCCCACGGGGGGGGCGGTCTGGAATGGCTCGTCTTGGAGGGTCCAGACCCCGTCCCTTTTATTACGAAATCTGGAGTACTCCTCGCCTCTCCTCCCCCATCCCTCCTCCGTGCGAACAGCTCCTCCCTGTCGCACCCCGAGGCCCTCGCCATCGCTTGGGCGTCCATTCCCTGTGTGTGTTTTTTTGTCGGTGTCATGCGTGGCGTTTCTGCCAAAGGATCGAGGATGCTCCTCGATGGTCCTCGCCGAAGGAAAAAATGCACACGTCCGAGCGATGCCAAGGGCCAGTCCGAAGGGCGGGCGGGGCGTTCCGCCTGAGACTTTCCTTACCATGCGTGAGCCTGAAGCTTAAAAACTGACAACGGTTCCACAGATGGAGGGCGGGTCGCTTCCACAATGTGGCTCTCGCCTTGGCGCCGCGCACATTCGTTTTAAGAATCCGCAAGAGCTTCACGAATTGAGAGCGGGTGGTTTCCAAAATGTGGCCCTCGCCCTCGCGCCGCGCACTTTCGTTTTAGATATTTACAAGAACTTCACGGATTGAGGGCGTGTAAGCTTCGAAATGTGGCTCCCGCCGAACACTCGTTTCAAACAGTCGCAACAATTTCATGGATTGAGGGCGGGTCGGTTTCAAAATGTTGTTCTCGCCTTGGCGCCGCGCGCATTCGCTTTCAAAGCTTGTCAGAGTTGCACGGTGTCAGGGCGGTTCCTTTTCAACATGTGGCTCCCGCCTTAGCGCCGCGAGCATTCGTTCCAAAAGTTTGCCAGGGTGTCATTGGCTCTATGTGTTGGACCGATCCAGGGTTGCCATGGCGCAACAGTTATGTTGATTCGCGGTGTTGAAGTCCCAGGAATGGTGTTCTGGTACGGTTCAGGATTGTCAAGACGCAACCAGTATGGTTGACTCGTTCCGCTGAAGTCCTGAGAATGGTGTTTTGGCACTGTTCAGGATGTTCACACGGTTGTCCCCCAACGGGGCACTTTCCTCAGCGGAAAGGAACCCTAGCAGAGGCTTACGAAGAGGGAGCTTGGAAGAGCCTTGGATTTACATTGGACCTCCTCCTCCTCCTCCTGCTCCCCTCTCCTCCGCCACCAGGCGGAGACGGAGGCGGAAGCGGAGGAGGAGGATGAGGACCACCCCTACCCCAACGCCACCTCATCAGATCATTCCCCCCGTCCCTCGGCGCTCCTCCCTCCAAACTCTCTGTTTTCCCTGTTCCATTGTTCCTCCTGGTCCCTCTCCTGCTCATCCATCGCCTCAGCATTCCCTCAAATAGCGGTCCAGAGAAAGGACAAGGAGGAGGGAAGAGGGGGAAAGGAGGAAGGAGGGAGGGAGGGAGGAGGAGGAGGAGGACGATGGGGAAGGAAGAGGAAGGATGGAGGGGGGAGAGATGAGCGGGGAGGGGGAGGGACAGGAGGGGAAGAGGGGAGGAGGGGGAGGAGGGGGAGGAGAAGTAGGAGGAGGAGGATTGGTGATTATGTTAATGATGGTGACGATGATGGCGATGATGCTGCTATTGCTGATGAAGAAGATGTTGATGGCTGATGACGAAGATAGCGGGAGGAGGGAAAAGGAGCACGGGAGCACTTCATGGCGGGCGGAGCACCAACGCTCGGTGAGCGCAGGGATCCTTGAACAGCTGGTCCCCGTCGCGCCACATGTTCTCTCCGAGGTTCATGAAGCCCGACCGCTCGGTAAAATCCAGGGGCTGGATGTTGACGACCACGGCCTCTGGCTTGTCCAGCGCGTTGAAGACGTTCCACTGGCGGTGCTGCAGCTTGTGGTTCACCTGCAGGACCGTGCCGAGCACCGTCGCCAGCTCAAAGTCCACCATCAGGCGGAGCACACGCCAGTCTGCGAAGAGGCCTATACCCAGGAGGCTCCATTACACTGCCACCATCTGCCCAGGGCCATCATGGGCCCTAGCACAGTACGGTCGTGAATGTTTACTTAGCATGTCGCAGCGGCGGCCCCGACGACACGCTGTGCCCTGCTAGTGGATAGCGTGTCGCTCCGAATCGCGGGGCGGGAGGCTGGGAAAGGCTCGGGCTGTTGACGCATGAAGGCTGGGACGTGGTTAGCGTGTCACGCCGAGGCGTGGTGGGCCAGAACCGGCGGCGCAACACGCTGAGCCAAACTTCCTGACCGTATATGCGCCCCCTTGCCGAGGCCAGGGGGTCTGCACACCGTCCTGGGGCCAAGGATGGCCCTGGCTGGGCATGACGGCGGTGCACAGCGTTTCAGGAGCCCCCTGCAGAGGCCTACAGACATCGAGTCCGACAGCCCGTCCCTCATCGGCGAGTACAGCGTGTAGTCCAGCACCTCACGGGCGTCCGCCCTCGCCATGGCGCACACCACGAGCGCCATGAGGACCACGTCCACGGGCACGCGGAAGAACGCCGCCCGGCGCGTGATCACCGCCATGGCCCCCGGTGCCAGGCCGATGATGTGGCCGTAGCCCTTCCCACGGTGCTGCCATATGCTCCCCCGAAGGGAGGCGCGCATGGGAGATGTCCTGGTCGGCGGCGAGCGAGGGGACGAAATGAGAAGGAGAATGGGACACAGAGGACATACTAGTACTAATTATGTGTCCTCCTCGGAGGCGTCCGTTCGACCAGATCATATAGTGCAAACATTTTGTAGTGGATAGTTTCCCGAGCGGTATGGCGAGAGACCGCCCACCACGGAGCATAGACTATAAGATGTCTCGGCGCCCGCGCGTCGCCCATATTGGGGAGACGTACACATAGTATTAGTACGTTTGGGTGACGCCGAGATAAGGCCTTCTCAAAGGCGGCGGGACTTCTCAGAAGCCCTCTCGCCTTCTGAAAGGTTGTCTGAGAGGTTGTCCGTGCCTTCGGGGCAATATATATAATAATAATAATAATAATAATATATATAAAAAAAAAAAAAAAAAAAAAAAAAAAAAAAAAAAAAAAAAAAAAAAAAAAAAAAAAAAAAAAAAAAAAAAAAAAAAAAAAAAAAAAAAAAAAAAAAAAAAAAAAAAAAAAAAAAAAAAAAAAAAAAAAAAAAAAAAAAAAAACTTCTCGGAAGGCTTGGGGGGGTCCGAGCAGTCTGAGAAGGCCTCCTCCTTCTCACTTCCCCCCCTCGCCCGCCGACGACCTGAGGCGGAAGGTGTCGAACAGCCTCTGCTCGAGCTCCGCCAGCGGGTTCCCGATCGGCGGGGGCGGGAACGCCTGCCTCCCTCGGGCCTCGTCGTAGAAGGCGAAGAGGTCCTGCGACAGGGGCAGGTGGCAGTTCCCGTCCGCGAACGCGTGCCACATGGCGATGGTGACGAAGCTAATCACGGTGGGGGGGCGCGCCCCCTTGTCCCTCTTGGGCGCGGCGCGGTGAGCGATCATGTGGTGCTGGGCGGCGCCCGGCGAGGCGCTCTCCCTGTAGTGCACCCTGAGCTCGTCCGCCCTCTCGAGCCGCAGCCACACGCACGCGCCGTTGCTCAGCGGCACGAAGAAGGCCGCGGGGAAGCCGTACGGAGGGTGCTTCCACCTGGCGCTGCACGGGTTCAGCAGCGGGCCCCACTCGCCAGAGCCGACGTCCACGTAGGCCAGCGAGGCGCCCGTGCCCGCGAGCACCGCTGGCGCCGCCACGATCGCGAAGCTGCCCCGCCACTTGTAGAAGACCCACACGTCCTCCAAGTGGCACACCACCTCGTAGGCGCAGATCTTGCCCGGCGGCACCATGGTAGATCTCCGCCACTTGAGCTCCCGCTCGAAGCGCTCCTGCCCCTCCGTGCAGCGCACAATCTCCAGCGGCGCGGCGTACTCGGGGAACCGCTCGCGGTACAGCTCCTCTCGGGTGAAGCACCTGATCCGCGGCCACACCTTTGAGGGGCATCGCTTGGGGAGGGGGAAGGGGGAGGGGGAGGGGGAAGGGGGAGGAGGAGGAGGAGGAGGAGGAGGAGGAGGAGGAGGAGGAGGAGGAGGGAGGAGGAGAGAGGAGAGGAGGAGGAAGAGGGGAGGAGGAGGAGGAGGAGGAGGATTTTTTGACATCAACATCAAGGTAGAGAGCCAGCCCAGACAATTAGGGCAGGACGGCTGGTCAAGCCAGCAAATACTAACACCTGAAAAGCGAGGAAAAGCAGCGGGCCACAGGGTCATCTCCAGCTGGCTGGAGGATACCCCGTGGCCCGCTGCTTCTCCCCCAGGCGTTAGTCCGAACTCGAGTCGCCCTCATCACGGTGCGCGAGCACCGAGATAAACGACGCCTCCCTGGCCTCACAGCGAGAAGAGGCCGGGGCACAGGGCAAACCAAGAAGGGGGGGAGGAGGAGGAGGAGAAGGAGGGCCCTGAAAAAGAAAACGAGAGGCTTCTTCGTCCGCCTCCCAGTCCTGCAAACCAGCGAGCTCGGACACAGTCGCTCCCCCCCCCGCACCCCGCTCCACCCCGTCCCCACGGTCCTCGGCGGCGGTGGCGGGGCGCGGAGAGCCGTGCTCCTGCGCCGCGGCGGCACCTGCATCGGCAACCTGAAGGCCTCCTCCCTTCTGCGCCCACGGCCCTCTCTCAACCGAGACTCCTGGACGCTTAGGATGGAGGCCCTTACAAATCGGGTGCCAACTGTTGTACTTCTTTGATCTGGTCGGGCCGCTGCAAACATCCGCAAGGCCCGACGCACGACCATGAGACGAATAGGAATAGCACTTGGTGCAGATCACCAAAGTCGAATTGTCTGAGCAGGCCAGCGTCAAACACCTGTGTCCCCGCGCCTCCAAAACCTGCGCCTCCATCCCTCGAACAGGGGAGCACTTCGAGGAAGGAGGCGGGGGACCATGGGTGGGAAGACGGCTGACTTTTGCACACCTCGAACACTTCCAAAAGCCCGAGACGGAACCAAGCTCGACAATCTGGATGGGCTGCCAATCGCAAAGCACAGAGGAAACCACCTGGGGGGGTCTTTAGGCGGCTGAATCCACACAACGTCTTGGAGGTCTAATTTGGGCCACAAAGGCATCAGCTTAGCAGACAGTGATGCCACAGCCCTAGAAAACTTAATGTCGAGATCAAGCCTGCACCTGTCCTCCTCCGACGGCTGTGGGTGCCCCAGGTACCCTTCCCCCGCAGAAGCACTTTTAGCTCCTACATCAGCGTGGTGGTTCCCAAAACGGCACATCTTGTCATGATTGTCGGTCCACTCATCCAAAGAGCGATGCGCTTTCACTTTGTTCAAAGAGCGGACCTTCCAGAAATCCGAAAGGAGGGAGAGGGAGAACCCGCTGTAGCTTCGCTTAGGTGAAAGCTGGTCAATCTGAGGGCGACCGAAGTGATCTTTGACCAGCTGTGCATCTGTATAAAAATCCGAAGGTCCTCCTGAGAAAAGTATGGCTTGACAAATAGCAGCAAACTCGCCCGCAGGGGCAGTCTGGGGGTAGCACGGGGGGACGGGACCGTAGAGCTTTCCCAAGAGGTCCCCTTGGTCGTCCACAGCCACAAAACACCAGCCTGCCCTGCTGAGCTCGCGAACAATATGCTTACATGCGCTACCGTCTGTGAAAATATTGTTTGTGAAAGGAAATTGGCCTACATCCTGGGGAAAGTCCTCCCTGGCCCAGAAAGTACCAGACGACTCGGCCGCGGGACCAGGAAAATAATCCCCAGGGTGGGCAAAAGCTCCAAAACAAGACCGAATCGAATTGGGCTCCTCCAGGGCCTTGCAAACAAGCTCGGGAGTAACAAGACTGGAACGGAGCTCGACAACCTCCTGGCACCTGCAGACCCAAAGTCGGTGGTGGAGCGTGTCGGGGGCAGAGCCGCAGAGGTGGCACGTGGGGTCTATCTGGTAACCCAATCGCAATGCTTTTGCACGAGTCCACACAGCGTCCGTAGCAACAGCCCGAATACACCCTTTCTCGAGCGCTGAGTATTTTTTGCGGCGGAGCTCGAACTTCACCACGTCAAAGCACAGACGATGAGGCACATCCCATTTAGCACCAGCTTCCCACTCGAGAACCCTGAAGACTGCCCCGCGGAGATGGTGCTTGACAAGCTGAGGGGACATGAGGGTCATGGAAAGCTCGATCCCCTTGTCAGTGACGAAAGTGGCGAAGTCCCTCATCGTCCACGAGATCCTCTCCAAGGACTTGCGCATGGCGGCCACAGGACCACCTACCGCCCTCCACGAGGGGGAATCCTGAAGAAAAACACCTTCCCACGCTTGCCTCAGCTCCCTGAAAGGAATCGAGCCTTCAAAGGCCCTGACCTGAGAGCACCAAACTTCCTTGTGCCACCGCAAAATCGGGGAAACGGCCCCAACCCAAGCAGGGTCGCCTTCGAGGTGGGAAAGCACCGTCAGGGAGCGTTGGCCAGCTGAAGGCTTGATAGTCCTGGCCGCCGCACGGCGGATGAGCATCAGCTCGTAGTCAGTAACCCCTCTAACCTCGCTGCCATACAGCAAGCCAGGGAGCGGTCCTGCAGTGAAAACTCGCAAAGTTCTCCTGGAACCAAGGGTCTTACGAAGTTTGGCCACACGGCCAGTGCGTTTGATGAAAAGACGTCTCCTAATCACAAGCTTTTTGTTACGACCCTGGGTCCGAGAACTCTTCCCCACCGTGTCGTCCACCCCAAGGTTAACAGCACTGGAAGTAATGGGACCCGTGAGCTCAACTCCCAGTTTGGCCTGAATGGCCCTGCCAAGCTTGGCCGAGGAACAAATCAGGCTGGATTTGTCAGCCGCCACCTGCGCACCAATGCCATCAACGATGGCAGCGTGGAGCTGGGGCGCGCCTTCCGTGATGACGTCCACAACAAAATTGAAACTGCCGACAGCACTGAGGCCAGAATCGTCGATGTAGAGCGCCAGTTGGGCACCCTGCCGTAACCTAACAGTATCGAGCGACTCCACCGCGTTAACCCTGATCAGGGTCGTGGCCAACGAACACCCCGCTATGATTCCAGAAGAAGCGTACCACGGACCGTCGATGCAGCCACCCAAGGAAAGAAACCTCGGGGCCCTGTAGGCCCGCACAGCCAACTTGGCCATGGCAATAGGGAAACCCAGCCTAATACAACGACCGAGGAGTCGCTCGAGATCAATGAGCTCGTAGTATTTAAACATGTCCTGCAGGAGGGTAGCCGCATGTAAGGAGTGGGTTGCCCCACTCTCGCTGCGGACGCTTTGCCGCCAAACAACGTCTGAGGCCCCCTGGTACTTGCCCGCCGCAAAGTAGGGACGAGCGTGCGCCCCCTCCCAGCACTCGGCAAGGCACCGCCGCGCTTTCCCCCAGATGCGGTAAGGACCCATGAAAATCCCGATAGGGCGGAACCCTCCAGTAGGTTTCCCCAGGAGCGCCAACACTGTGGCATCAAGCTGGAAAGGCAACATGCTGGAGATTTCCATGACCTGCATGATTCTACACAGCGCCGTGACCCCAGGAAGGGAAATCATACTGAAATGTTTCATGTGGAAACCGTCCACGCCCACCGCCGAATTCATCTTGTAGCTCCTCGAAATACGGACCAACTCGTTGGGGTCCAAAGGGGGGAGCTCAGGGGCAGGAAAGAAATCGGCGATAGGTCCCAACTCCCGCGGGGAGTCAAAAGCGCGCCATAAATGAATAAACTTGTTGCGTTCAGCCTCGAGAAGGGACCTGGGGTCACTGACCACACAGCCGTTGGACGAGAGAGTGGAAGTAGGTTTCCAGGGCTTGGGTTCAGAAGTGACCATGTGAGCTCGCTTGGCCCCCTGATCGATGTTCTCTCTCAGCCAACTACGCCAGGAAGCTAAACTGCGGTCCCTAGCGCTGGCTTCTGCCTGCGCGACCACGTCGGAGAACGAGAGAGACAGATCGAGAACGTCCTGCTCGAGCTCTCCGCTCGAGTCCAAATCAGCACGGGTGATCATGGACTGCAAGGTGATAAGCAGCTCCTTATGGGCACCCAGATTCTCGACCACGAAAGGGGGAGGGTGAAAAATGTAGGACCTCAGGGCCCTCGCAAAATCAACTCCACCACTCTTGGCCTTTTGGGAATTAGACGAAACGTACACCTTGCAGTCCAAGATGCGATTATACAGCCACCTGACGGAGTACAGAAAGGGGTGCCTAAGAGGTTCCTTGTCCTTCGAGAAAACAGGCTTCCACATAAGCTGAGGACCCTTGCCTCTCGCACCCCAAACCGGAAGCACCGATTGAGTGGCGTTGGCCACCTCCACTTCCGCAAGGTTGGCCCACCACTTGTAGGTGAGATTGAGCAGCCTTTGAGTTTCCGCCCCCCTCCCCGCCCTGGCAGCTACCAGAGCCGCCTCCAGCACGTCGAGAACAGGGTCCCAAGATGGGGGTTCCCGAGTGGGCCCTATGGCCCTTTGGGGGGGAAGGGGGGGAGGTTTCCGAAATTCCAAAACGTTGAGTTGAGCAGGCGAAGGGAAGAGCTCCAGATCCACAGGGGAGTGGGGGGTGAGAGGGGAATTGTAGTTGACACTCACCTGCCTGATAACCTTCGCGATGCCTGCCGAGACGACAAAGAAATCAGATACTTTGAGGCCCCCCGTGCTGCGGAGCGTGTAGCCTCCGTCTGTTGGGGTGATCATCTGGCCTTTGAACTCCGAAACGAAATGCGACTTCTGAAACTCACCTGGAGTCATGTTGAAATCGCCTCCCGCAATGACAGGGAGATCAGAATGTGAAAGTCCAGCTCCGAGACGCGACAAGATCTCCACGTTGCGCTCAGAAAGACCTTCGACGTCGTGGAGGTAGATCGATCCGACAAGGACCTGAAAACCTCCTGGAATATCTATAACACAAGCTCCAGCACGATGAGGGGACAGTACGAAGCCCGACGACAACGTGTGAAGCCCGAGATACGATCTAGCCAAAACAGCAACACCTCCTGAAGACCCAGTGCCCTCC